TAGCTGTTTCCTAATACACTGAAATTCTGGACCAAACAAACTGAAAAACCTTTGTATCAGCGTCCACATTCATACCTTCACATCACACAATATTATAACCTAAGCAAGAATAATGTTTATGATATAACTATACTTAACATATATTAGATCCTACATAATATGTTTATAATTAAATTAACTAACCTTAAACAGAGAGTAGATGTACAGCTGAAGGAGAACTCCGTCCGTCAAAATGTCAAGAAATCTGTTTTCTGAAAAATGCCTTTCTTGTGCGGCTGTATGTTGTAGACTGATGTTGATGTGCTGATGTTAGTAAAGAAGAAAACAGACAACATGAAAGTGACCAATCAGAGCTCAAGGAATAGCTTGCCCTCTGAATAATTATTAAGAACAAAAGAACACCCTGCTCTCCCACAATAATACAATAAAACCAAGATCCAGCTTGGGGCAATCAAGCTGGAGACAAATACCAAACACTCTAATATAAACCTAATCCAATAAAACTACCACAACTGTTTAAAGATGATACCGTATTTACACAAACAAATAAAATAAAATGTAAAATATGACACTGCCACACTATGCACAGTACAAAATAGTGTGACTGTACAAACTAAAAGACAATATAATACTACGAGCAGTTATTCCCAGATACAGTAATCCAGCTGGAAGAAAGGGCTAGACAGAGGGCACCCAGGGTATCGCAAACATTGATGGTCTGCTCGTGGCTTGAGATGTCATGTGACTTGAGAGGCAAGAGTTAACTCCCCTTACAGACCTGACGATAAGATGCTAGACGATTCTACACAACGGTAGATGAATACGGAATAAACTCCTTGTGCAGCTCTTGTAAATCTTTCTGTCTAAATTTAGTGTCAGTCTAAATATATCACCAGTCCAAAATATAGCACACCACAGCCCCTCACTTAATATCTATCTCGACAAGGTATTTCATCTGGATCACTGTTACATAATGAAGAGCACTGCTACATAGCAACCTTGACATTCACGCGTTCCTCTCCCTTGTCTGTATCATGTCTCAATGCCTCTCTTCATCTGAAGTAGTAGTACACAAAGTGAATACTATACCAGTAAATGTAAACATTTGGATCTCAAAGAGTGGGTGACTGAGTATGGTCTTACGGTGGACACAGGGGACACCAGAAATGGCCTTCACACATTGTGCCCATAGGCCACAGGCATTTCTCCATACATGTATATAGCACAACATATACAGCAATGTCTGTATATGTAGGCCACAGTCATTTTTATACACATGCATATAGCACAACACATACAGCAATATCTGTTTATGTAGGCCACAGGCCCTTCTATACACGTATAGCAATATACATAGAGCAATATCTGTACATGAAGCCCACAGGTCGTTCTATACATGTATAGCAATATACATATAGCAATATCTGTACATGTAGGCCACAGGTCGTTCTATACATGTATAGCACAACACATATAGCAATATCGGTACACAGGCCTTTCAAACGTCTACATATTCAGGTGGATAAAATATTTTGATTTCACGTACATTTTTCGTAGGTGAGCTCCAGCTACACATATAAGCAAGAAATGGTATTCAGATATAATCAGAATTACATAATTACATTTTCACAGTTACCGCCGTATATTAAACTGTCTTCAAAGATAGGCTATAATGAGACAGCTCAGCCGAAATCTGGAATATGCTTTTTGTTCATTTTGCTATATTTGACAGTTGATAAATATTTGTAATATCATTGTTAGCATAATATGTCACCTTTGTACGACTCGACAGGAGTTCTTGTAAAATATCATTTAGGCATATACAGATTTAACTAATTGATATTATGTATTAGGCTGTCCGTATTTTCTTCTGTGTTTAGCATTAATTTTCATTTCGATGTGAAATAATGAATAATGTTCTTTCAAAATTATCCCCGTCGAAGTAGTAATCTATGTCCTGCTGTGATATAACAAATATTCATACCCTTTGAACAACAGTAGAAATAGGAAATTTTGATCTTCCTTAAACTACATGCATTAACACGTTTCTAATCTGAAGCAACTCCAACAATATCAAAAACAGACTTCTACCAAAAAAGACTTCTTCAAAGTAATGCAAAATTTATAGTTTCACAACAATTACACAATTAGTCAAAATAATTTACTTTGTTTAGATTTTACTACTCGAGGTTGGAGATGAGATACACATAATACAACTACGAATGATACTGCTGTAGAAAATGTTTGAAATAATATAAGTATCACAGGTTCATTACTTTCCGTTAACCTTTAAACCCGTGAAGATCCGGGTAAAAATTGGTCTTTAGCAACCCATGCTCGTCCTAAGATGCGACTAACTGGATCGGGTGGTCAGGCTCGCTGACTTGGTCGACACATGTCATCGGTTCCCAGTTGCGTAGATCGATGCTCATGCCATTGATGTCTGGATTATCTGGTACAGACTTGATTATTTACAGACCGCCGCCATATAGCTGGACTATTCCGGAGTGTGGCGTTAAACAACAAACCAACAAATCAATGTTAACTTTTACTATTGCCCCATTGTTGATACAAAGGGTGATACTTGGATTTTACGATCGCTTCATTAAACTGTATCGCTGCTCGTTATTACAGTAATAATAATAATACATTTGTAAAGCGCCTAATATCACCTTACATGTGCTCAGTGGCGCTAATACACTGATAAAACTGAACATATATACATATAACAGAGAATGATTATCTACTGGTACACAGATAGAAATAGGTGAGTCTTAAGCTGTGATTTAAAGGTGTCTTTAGTGGCTGTATTTCTGAGGTTTTGGGGAAGTGAATTCCAGAGTTGTGGGCTGACGAAAGAGAAGGCGTGTTCGAAAAGTCCATTTAGTGATTTTGGTTGAGTCAAGAGAGAGTCACTGGAGGATCTGAGATTCCGCTGAGGTGAGTAAGGGGAGATAAGTTCTTTGAGATAGGATGGAAAGTATTTATTGTAGAGACAGTCGTGAGTGAGGGCGAGGAGTTTGAAGGTGATTCTTGCAGAGATGGGAAGCCAGTGAAGTGACTGAAGCGCAGGAGAGATATGGTCATAGCGGGAAGAACGGGAGACACATCGGGCCGCCGAGTTCTGACTTCTTTGAAGTTTCTGAATTGATTTGGATGACATGTTACTGACATACAGTATGCTGACACATCTCAGCGTTAAAACCACGTGCTCTCCTTTGCACTGGTGGGCAGTAGAATACATTGGCAGTGCTTGGTCAGGTGTGTCCCATAATGAGACTCAGGAGTTAACACATTCATGACAGTTACCTGTATATGTATATATACTGACTATGTGGGTGGTGAGGTAGAAGGATGAATATAACCTTCTTTCATCACGCCCAAGAACCGGGTTCGATTCATCGCAGGTCACACTGTGTGAAGCCCAGTTCTGATGTCCCCCGCCATGATATTGCTACAATATTGCTTAAAGCGGCAAACACAATAATCTTGACTTCTATACTTGTCGTAAAGGAATGTCATACATTTTTTCACAGCTTCTTAGGTACAACTGTCATCATGTGCACTTTAGAGATTGTAACAATATCGTCCACGATAGCTTTTACATTGCGATTGTTTTTGTGAAAAGCAAGGGTCAGGTAGGTTCCAGTAGGTTTGCGATCACGATAAACACGAGTTCATGGTCTGCTTTTCGACGAATACAATAGGTGTATTAAAGGAGGATACGAGTGAATTGCAATAATTTGCTGGGTGAAAGATAAAGTCATCAGAAACATATTCCCAAATTTTCAATTAAAAATTATGTATGATTATGTTTTAATCGCGAAAACAGTTTCTGTAAATCTCAGCTTCGGCCATTATGCATATTTCGCTGGAACCCACGTGACAAAATAATTCCAGTGTAATTTTTGAAGCAGATAATTTTTATTTTCCCTCGTCTGAAGCATAAATATTTTGTTTTTAAATCCCAGACACCCTACAGTCACCCATTTTACACAAAATGAACTGTAATCACAGTTTAAAAAAATAATTCTTAGTGACTGGTCATATATTTATAGGGGTGAGTTTGCTGGCTGAAACTGTATGACATTTTGCTGACAAATAGTAATCTTGTTAAATGATATGATCAATTTTAAATTTATTTTGACCTCAAGGGTTGCCTCCGTTTCGCTTGAGTCTTCTTCTTCATCTTCAGTGGAAGAGTGTCTTGCAAGATGTAAAATCGCATCGTATTGATACGGTCTAACATCCATTTCAGAAATTACATCAGGAACATCTTTTACTGCTTCAGAATCCACGGACACTGTTAAGTTGTGAGGTAAAATCAAAGAGGAAGCCATCAGCAACAGGCACTTATGACGTCATGTCACGTGATACCCCCGCTGCTCATTAACTGTCGGGTGTTTCCGTAAGAGGCGGAAATACGAGTACGTTTTTGTGTTTTTATTGCTATTTTACAAACTTTTTGTTCAATTTTAATCACGGAATGTGACTTTTAGAATATCCTTTGCAATATATCAAAAGTTTTGTTTTCGTTCGTATTCTCCTTTAAGACATGTGACGAAGTAGGTTCAGGCACAGGGTTATCTGACACCGGTGCGTAGAGCTTTACGACACGTTCGTCGCGTAATTGTCCCAAAAGCATATCCATTTAGACGATAGTCCGTCATGGTGAAATTCTTGACTTTCGGGTAGACATCTGCCATAATGTAATATTTTCCAGTTGATGGGACAAACAATTTATACTTGCTTTGGTGTTTGCGATGTTCAGTTGTGTGAATTCATCGAATCAAATCGTTGCAAGATTCATTCATATTCACTTCCCATAGCTGTACCATAGCTTGTGGTCTGATTTCAGACCTTTGTGCAACCACGTCATCATTACATGACCCTTCAGTTTGTTTCAGAATGTCGTAGTTCAGCTGAACAATTGCACAGATACATAGCGTTGGGCGCGTGCAGTCCTAATTCCATGCGTAAGTTGATAAGAAACGAATTGATTTTCATTACCGCATTTAATATACAGTACACAATAAATATATTTGCATTGTACCAGTGCGTAACACCAATGTCTCTATGCCCGAGTCAGCCTGAAGACATCACGATGACGACAGTGATGAGTGACAAACGATGGGGCGGTCGTCTTGTCGACTGGAGTTTGTGATGACGGATTCGCTACCCGAACGATCAGCTGTAACTGTACAACAGACAGGACATGTGTAGTCTTGCACTGACCAACAACTGCAGCATGAGATCGTGTTTGGGCTATTAACATTAGCCTTACTCGCTCCTGTGCTACTTCCACATATTTTGCAAAGGAAAGTAGATGCATAAGTTAACTATGCCATGTTCTTATCATGACCAATCATAGACGTAAAATCCATGATATATTATATCGGTAATCAACCCTTAGTGAATACAATTTCACGCTGCTTTATGCAATATTCCAGCAATATCATGGTAGCATGCTCATTTTATGAACTTACTTCCAAAGCCTCTATTTTAGCAGGGTCGTGGACTGCTATCCTCTCAGAGTCTGTAAGAGCCTGAACGTAGCACGTAGAGTGGCCAATCATCAGCATGTTACCCTGCCCAACAAGACACTTGATTCTTTAATCGTATCATGGAATGCCTCAGGTGCTGAACCTGATATTCCGAGTGTACTTGTGAATACGTGATATAGTTGTTGATTATCAAACCCTGGGTTAGAATTAGTCTTCAGCAAACCACGCTTGTCGTAGTTAGAAGGCGACTAGTGCGATCGGGTTGTTAGGCTCGCTGACGTGGTTGACACACGTCATCATATCCCATTGCGTAGATCGATGCTCATGCTGTTGATCACTGGATTGTCTGGTCCAAACTCGATTATTTACAGAGGTCTGTCATATAGTTGGGATGCTGCTGAGTACAACGTTAAACAAACAAGCAAACAAACTTATTAGTAACTGTGAGGGATGAAAGTGAGACTATTGAATACTTACTGATGTGTGATCGTAATAGAAGTTAAATCTGTTGTGTTCGTTGGTGTCTTTTACATGATGTGTTGATACGACGGATACCGGTAAGGAGGTGGTGGTGGCAGCAGTAGTTGTGGATGTTGTTGACGCTGTGGTCGATGATTGTACCTGACAGTAAACCGTTTCACATTACTCATGGGGTGAATGTCTAATGTCTAAGCAACATCTAAACAATAATAATGGGTGTTTCGCTAATATATAATGTACTGCTGAGTATACTTTTATAACCAGACCTACACAGTTCAGTGTTGTTGTACAACGAGTGGACATGCATATCCTACACATGCCGGTGTTGTTGTGCAACGAGTGTATATATATATATATATATATATCCTATACCGTTCATTGTTGTTGTGCAACGAGTGGCCATATACACACACCAAAACTGTGGCTGTGTAAAAGGTTCGTTACTCAAATACTCATTCCTGTCCTCGTTGAATTTAAAACAGATACTGTTTCCACAAGAGATACGTTCTATCGGATTTACAGTCTTATGGTGACAGAGGGGGCACAACCGGTCCTCAAGTTAGACGTCTACTATATTCAGTTGCTAATCTAAAGCTGTAACATAAGAATCATGATACGATGCAAGTTCAGGAAGTTATTTTCAAGGTATCTCAACAAGGACAAGGAGACGTTTTGAGGAGGAGATGTGCCGCACTTGGAAGAGCCAGTCGTATAATCTTTGTTATCAAACCGATATGAAGTGTTTTGTGTGACCAGCGTCTTGACGCAGTTACTCTACATCAAGTCTATACTGAACAAGAAAGGCTTTGGTGCTGGGTGTTGTACCGCAGTCAGTCAGTGGAATATGCACATGACAGCATAAATTATGCATATGGCAGTGATGTGGGACTCTCCATATGACCCTGCACCAGTAACAAACTGTCCGGACATATAATGATACTGAAGTGGGGTTCTGCCGCACTCACCATACCTATACACCATACCTGCATGTGTATAATTGCCGGGAATTTAATGCCTCCTACAGAACTGTATATGATCTTATATAAGACGAGTATATGGATGACAACTTCTCCTTATTGTATAACACGACGTTTCTGGGCTACTTCTTGCCCCTTCTTCAGGTGATATAAAGACAGGAGTACAAAACATACTATATATACCAGAATTACAGGAAGCCAGAGAAGTACATGTATATACAATGAATGAGAGGACCGATGAAAAGCAGTTATAAAAACAATGATAATAGGGATAAAGTAAAGCCAGTTGACACAAACAATGAGGATAAGGAGATGTGAATACAGCTAATGAAGTGATAATTAGATGTACAGGAAGCCAGAGATGTACATCTATATACAATCATACATATTGTACATCTCTGGCTTCCTGGAAAATCTGGTATAAAAAGTATGTTTTGTACTCCTGTCTTTATATCACCTGAAGATGGGGCAAGAAGTAGCCCAGAAACGTCGTGTTATACAATAAAGAAGAAGTTGTCATCCATATACTCGTCTTATATATTCATCAACTACTAAATGCCTCTCAAGAATCTGTATATGATCTTGTTAAACAAATTAGCATAAAGTGTTTCCTTGTTTTCTGACCCTTAACAAAATATTGCATAAATTATGGGATAATATGACCAAGGATTCACTGAAATGGTTACATGATAATCGTGTTGCTGTGTTTGGCTTTGTGTTTTGGTCCATGAACGTGTACGGGTGAAGAAAGTTTGTTTTGTTTGAATGACTGTAGCATTAAGACATTATGTCCCAGGGTTAGATAACTTTCCTTTTGGGGTTGGTTTGTAAAGTCATCGCCATCCACAGAAGGATTGGCTGTGACATGAATAGCCCGCATTCAACCAGTTTGTTTCTATTCTAGTTGTAACCTGATTTAAGGATATCATGAAGATTAGAGGGCTATATACAGCCGTGGTGAGACCAAGCAATGTACTTGTCTGGCGCCATAGTATCTGTCCAGATACTTGCTGAGCGTTTAGAGTGCACAGTAACCATTAGCCTGAAATGTTCACGTATACTTCTCATTTGTTGGAAACTTCATAACCGAACAGCGTGATTATTACATTCAAAACCTTAAGAAAAATCAATAAAGTAACATTAACCTAGTATTTTAGATCATAACAACAAGTGTAAAATATGGTTATATAGCAGAGTGGTTTTGTACCAAAAGCCAGCGTGGGATATTACATTTGCACGATATTACCGATTTAATGTGACGCCAATGTGTAGGTCCCTGAATTCACATCGGGGCTATATTGCACAGGAATGTGCTCAGATCAAAAGGTATCAAAGCATTGAATTAAACCCTCTTGGATTTCTTTCATATTTTTAAACTGATTTCAGAAAAAAAACCGAAAAATAACAAGTGTCTGTTTACTTTCAGTTTTATGTCGTTATACAGAGGAGAAGATGGCCATTATATTAACCCTATTCTGTTTCATTGAGTATTGCCAGGACTTTTCTCTAATCGTTGGAAAATATATGTAGAGTTTCCGAGTCTCTTTTACTGCAGCGATGAATGATTTGAGGTTATACACCACACGCGAGGCCCCAGCTATGTACACATAGGAGGGACAGCAATAGTAATATATCATCAAATGTGCCATATTGTCGCATTGTTGTCTTGCTACATATTTAACTTTCGACCAAAGGGATACAATATGTCAACTTTTAAAGTCAGAATGTCTTGGCTGTCAACGCCAAGAATAATTAGGCTGCGCACTCTGGTCCTCGCACTCTGGTTCTTTGGGGTAGGTACAGTCTTTGACCATTCATTTAAACCTGAGTACCTAAGCTGTTTGCACTGAAAGTATATGACCGGAGATCGCTCAGGCTTACATCCAGTGATTGGACACATACGTTTTTTCCTTGTTAATGTATCTTACCTCAACAAAGGCCGTTAACGAAAGCAGAACCAAGGTAGACAACATGATGTGTTCTGTTAGTATCGCAAGCAGGAGTGGCCATATATGTTCCGTCCATAGAACGACAGATGGTCGTATGTCAAGCTGGTCATTATCTAAACTCGAGTCGAGTTAACGGAGCTGCTATTTAATGATAAAATATGACACAACTAAATTCGGTTACTGTTGTATTTCCAATAATGTGTACAGTGTTTTCTTATATCGTATTAGACATGTTGTCGTCTTTTTCAAATGATATCCGACTTTCTGAGATGTATGAAAAGTAAATCCGGATAAATTATCACTACCATATGCCCGTCACGCAATTTCAGGCTGGGAATCTGAACCCAGAACTCAGAATAATGCACATACGCATCGTAGCTCATTTTAAATCGTCGTAGTTTATTTGGGACTATAACTTAGGTGCGGTCTTGACACGTTCAACTGCACGCAATAATGTGATATAATATCATCATGTCACACTGACACGAACTGACAAGTGATAGTGCTAACACATCTACAACAGAACCATGAATAATCTTGGATTCGAACCCATGATCAAAGATTGTTTGCCTGCTAAAGGGAGCCATCTTAAGCTGTGGAATGAATTGTGTATGTTTTGATCTGTACTGTATGCATGATTGAGACTAAGGCTTTGGTATTGTAACCAAACTGAGTAAACGTTAACAATAGTTCCCGATACCATACCGGTTATCAAACGTCACAAGATGAATGTTGAACATGACAGTTCAAGATTTTTAACGAACCACAACGATCTTCATTTATTGATCAGAAAAAGAACAATACAGGTAACATAAGCTGGTACTTTAGGCTGCAACCTGCACCAGCGTCCTACCATGACAATGTCGTGTGACCCAATGGTCTGGGCTCTGTGTTCCTGTCAGAACCGTCTGCTTTGCGGTGTTGGATGCAAGCGCAGAAAGTTGAAGCTGAAATAAATTGTACAGAGCAAAACGTTATGTGTCTATACACCACTTTGGGGATAAACCTATTGCATTCTAACAATAACTGCAGATAAGATATTTGTCGGTTAAATTTGGAACAAACCGCTGCATCGCGAGATTTCGTATAATGTAACAAAATTAAACACAGTAGATCTATCTCCATTCTACCATGACAAATGCGCTCTAAATTCTCATGCCCTCTTCGGACGAGCGGCAAATGGGTAAACACATTTTACACGATTTCATGATTAGTTACACATATGTTTACAAGGTTCAGTCTGCGTTTTAAAAAACCCCATAGTTTTGCGACAGGAAATGATAAAATATACTCCCATAGGTATTCATTAAATTTCATTGCATCGGGGCCGGACTCGAAACTATGAAGACAATTTAATAGCATCAACGCAAAGATGAAAAAAACGCAACGAAGTTGTTCGACGACATATCTGACAATCTGGCAACACCTCAGACCCTAAAGTGCTCGATTGTAGCAATCTGCAACCCATATTACGGAGAGCCAATGCCCCTAATGTAATGTGGAAATCCCCGTATTAGCTGGGCAATGTTTATGAAAATCTCAAGCACCGATCATTACCTCAAGTGTCTCAATCTTAGCAGGGTCGCGAACGTCCAGCTTCTGGGCGTCGGACAGCGCCTACAGGTAGCAGTGAGTCTTGGATATCATCACCATCTCACCCTGCGGACAATAAGTCAATGGACAACGATAATGTCGACATACACTTTAACCGAGCGTATCACTTCACGAATGTTATGCTCCTGAGCGACACATATATCCATAAGTAAAAAATACTTGTGACTGTTTGTTTTGTCGTATTTATACTATATACGACATAGTATTATTAAGTGGACTTGTGCCCTGTTTCTACATAAACATTTATGTTACTTAAAGTGTGTATAACGGAGTACAGCAAACAGGTATACTACATGCATATGCAAAATATGTAAACTACATACTATACTCTTGTCATAGGCGAATGCAAAGGAACCATGTGGGGCCGGTGTGTGGACAGGATGGGTGTGGGCCGGATGGGTGTGGTGGGTGTGGATCTTGTGGGTGTGTCCAGGGTGGTTAGATGGTTTAGGTGCCTGGGTTGTCTCTTCCTGGAAACCAAAGATGCTTTATAAATAACGTATAGTAGTTTACGAACTGCGTTTGACGCCTATTATAAGAGAGTTACATCTACATTACGGTGAGTCAGCGTTTAGGATGAAGTGAAGCATGGTATCAGCTTTTGTAGCACAGTGAATTACACACACATTCATACATAAACCATACATTTTAAACATATAAATGCGCGTGTATATAACTTTGTTTGGAGCACCTGTTCCATTATACATTATACAAATGAAAATAATCCCTCGTAACAAATAGTGAACTGTGTAAATATTTTAATGATAGTTGTTAAACAACTTTTTTATTATTAGGACAAAACTTCTGCAAAAAAACCTCGCAGAGTTGGTCAGATGTTTTGATTATGATCAGCGTTTCATTGAGTATTTAATGATTATTAGTTTCCGAGTTAGATTGCAATTCATCGGTTCGCTTTTGAGCCAAACGGACAATAAAGCCCAAGCCAAACCATCTCAACGGACGTCTGCTTCACAAACAACTAATTATCCTTCAAATGAAAAGAAACCCAATGCAAATATCAATTATTCAAAGCAAAATCAACGTTCCGATCGTGTACCAAAAGCACAGAAAAAAACTGCTTTTCTGTTCAATAAACATACTATAAAGACACTGACAAATTTGGTGTAAGAGGGGATACTTCTTATAATGTCTTTTCGCCTCCTGGAGCTAAAGCTACTGGAGGTTCTTCAATCCTGATGGAACGTGGTGTCATCCATAGCCCTGTCCCTCTTACTACTCCCCTTCATCCATAGCCCTGTCCCTCTTACTTCTCCCCTTCAATCTGTTGCTGTCCGTGTAACTTTGCACGTTGTTATTACATTATGTTCTTTGTATCTTCCACCGTCCTCGTCTCTCCAACAGTCTGAACTTCAAGATCTCTATGACCAACTCCCCAAGCCCTGTATTATCTGGGCGATTTAAATGGACACAATCCACTTTGGGGTAGTTCTCAGACAAATACTAAGGGGAAGCTCTTGGAAGATTTCATTTCTAATAATAACTTATGTATATTTAATGATGGCTCTACAACATATTTACATCATGGTACAGGTACTTACTCTACTCTTGATTTATCCATTACAGATTCACAGCTACTAAACGAATTTGAATGGTCCGTTCAAGAGGACCTCTGTGGAAGCGATCACTTCCCTACCATTCCAAATCCCACAACTCATTAGATGTTCCTCCCTCAACAAAATGGAACTTTAATCAGGCCAAGTGATCTTTGTTTGAAATGCTTGCTTCCAATAATTTAAAACCTGATCTGTTTATTGACGTCTCTGACCCTGTACAATTATTATTCTCCGATGAGCTGAAGAAGATAGCCGATGAATGCATTCCAAAGTTCTCTACATGTAAGGTATGGAACATGATTCAGAAAATTAAAGGTAAGGGATCTAAATCGAACATCAACCATCTGAAAAGTGGGGATAAACTATTAACTGATAACACGGATATTGCCAATAAGATTGGTGAAACTCTGGCTACCCATTCTTCTTCGGCTAATTATGTACCCCAATTCCAGAAATACCAACAAGAGGAATTTTAAATCAGATAATGGAGAAGATTATAATGAAATAATTTCTCTTTATGAGCTACATACTGCTCTTAGACAAGCTCATGATACTGCAACAGGAGCTGATAATATACAGCTTCTAAAGCACTTACCAGAATCATGTTTGGTAACCCTTTAAACTATTTTTGATGACATTTGGACATCTGGAACATTCGCTTCGTCGTGGCGTGATGCTATAATTGTTCCCATACCTAAACCTGGACGTGATCATACTGATCCTTCTAATTATAGGCCAGTTTCACTAACTAGCTGTGTTTGCAAAACTATGGAGCGCATGATAAATAATCGACTTGTTTGGTACTTGGAAACAGATTAACAGATATACAATGTGGTTTCCGTCAAAACAGAAGTACTGTCGATCACTTAGTGCGTTTGGAGTCATTTGTTAAAAACGCTTTAATTAATAAACAACACGCTGTGTCTAACTTTTTTTATCTTGAAAAGTCTTATGACACTAGCGGAAATTTTACGAGAGTGACATGGCTTCGGATTGCGAGGCTGTTTGCCTCAATGTTTAACTGACAGACAAATTTCAAGTCCGCGTGGGTTGTACCATGTGTGATCATTACAATCAGGATCAGGGTGTCCCACAAGGAAGTATTTTGTCTGTCACACTATTCAGTATAAAGATAAATAGTTTATCAAAAGTTTTAAACGATTCAATTGATGGATCGTTATTCGTGGATGACTTTAATGTTTTCTGTCGTGGTAAAAATATGCATACTATTGAACGGCAACTGCAGTTATGGTTAACAAAATAAATAAATGGTGTCTTGAAAACGGCTTTAAATTTTCTAAGTCAAAAACTAATTGTATACACTTCTGTAGAAAATATAAGCCGCATAAGGACCCGGAATTCTTTTTTTAAATGGCACTCCCATCAAAGTTGTCAAGGAGGCCTAGTTCTTGGGTCTAATTTTCGACTCCCATTTAACGTTTCTTCCTGGTATCAAATCCCTAAAAAATAAATGCCTGAAGGCACTCGATTTATTGAACGTCGTTTCAAATTCAAAGTGGGGAGGGGATCACTCTACCCTCCTTCATCTATATATAGATCACTGGTCTGCTCGAAGCTTCATTATGACTCCATCGTATATGGTGGACCCTGCAAAAGCAGCCTAAAACTACTTGATTCTGTCCACCACCAAGGCCTAAGACTTTGTCTTGGGTCTTTTAGAACTGTTGACAGTCTCTGCGTCGAGGCAGATGAGCCATCTCTTACACAACGCCGTATAAAACTATATTTACAGTATATTACCAAACTGTAACAAATCTAACCCTGCATATAACTGTGTCTTCAATCCCCTCTATGAGGATTTATACACCAAGAAATCTAAGTTGACCTAACATTAACCACATTTAAAAAGTCAGAAACTAATGAAGTACAGTATAAACAAGAATTTAGTCAATTAAGAAATAAATATAATACACATAAATCCTTATTTACAGATGGACCCAAGGATGGTTGCGCAGTTGTCATTGGATCCAGAACAATATCTTCTCGATTGCCTGATAATAGATACGTTTTCACAGCAGAAGCAAATGCCATATTAACAGCTTCAAAGTATACTAATAAAGACCCTAAATATAAACAATATATCATCTTTTCTACTCTCTTTCGTGCCTTCAGGCTATTGAAAATCTTTTTTGTAAACATCCACTTTTAATAGAAATTTATTATATAATGATCATGCTACTGACCAATGCGACATCGTGTTTTATTGGTTACCCAGCCACGTTGCCATTTCTGGGAACACAATGGCTGACCTTGCTGCCAAGGCAGCACTCAACAAATCTGTGACACCACTTCTTATTCCATACTCTGATTACAAAGCTACCATTAGATCTTATATTCGTGATCTGATGCATAAGAAGTTGGACACTCAAGTAGGTGTTAATAAATTACATGCAACAAAACCGTATATTGGTTACACCTTGGGTTGTCAGTCCAGATTGGAAGAGGTCATCATACGACGATGTCTATTGGCCACACAAGATATACTCACGAATACTTATTGAAAGGTGACGATCCTCCGTTTTGCATCCCTTGTGATGAAAGAATCACGGTCAAGCATGTTCTGCTTGACTGTGTTGAATATTCCATCACAAGGGATAAATATTTCAAATCAAGAACTATGAAGGATTACCCTGCTTGATATGTTAGGCAAAGCGTTTACCTCAATTATTAATACAAGATTAAATTTTGGTTAGAACTACACTCTGCAGTGTCGGAAGCACAAGCTGGCTTCACAGATGGTTATTCCACTGTTGACAACATGTTAATTTTAAATACATTAGCTTATAAGTATCTTAGACAAAAACAATGGAAACTGTATTGTATTTTCATAGACTTCAAAAAGGCTTTTGATTATGTCGATAGAAGCAAGCTTCTCTTTCAGTTGCTTAGAAAAGGAATTCATGATAAATTATATAAATTGTTAGAGAGTATTTATTGTAATGTGAAAACATGTACACCATGCCAGTTTACAGAAATGTTTTCATCTTCTCGAGGTGTTAGACAAGGGTGTATGTTGTCACCAATTTTGTATTTAATGCATATTGAAGAGTTGGCTGCAACTATTGTCCAAGCGGACCCACCAGGTATGCTTGTAGATAGTGATATTGAAGAAATTTGTCTGCTTTTATTTGCTAATGATGTCATTATGATTGGCGATACAGTAATCAACCTCCAGAGAAAAATAAATATTTTAGAAGAATATTGTGAAAAGTGGGGTTTAACAGTAAAGTTAGACAAAACCAAAATAATGGTGTTTAAAAAGGGAGGAAAATTATCAAACATTGAAAAGTGGGCATATGCAGGTAAATCTATAGAGGTTCCTTCTTATTATAAATACTTGGGCATTATATTTTCATGTAAAAACATGTTTACAGTTGCTTGTAAAAATTTGGCCAAACAGGCAGAAAAAGCTTTAGTTCCTGTAAAAAGAATGATTTATAGATATGAAAATATGGATGTTAATACCTGTTTTGATATTTTTTAACAGAAAAATTCAGCCAATTTTAATGTACGGTTCGGAAATTTGGGGTACAAAGGAAAGAAAAGTTTTCGAAATTATCCACACAAAATTTTGTACATTTATTATAAGAGTTGGCTACCGCACAAGCAACTTGGCAACTTTTGGCGAATGTGGACACCATCCCTTGTTTATTCATCAACAGCTAAGAGTTATAAGCATTTGGTTAAGGATACTCGGTATGAATTGTAATAGATATGTTAAACATTGTTATTTACTCATGATGCAACAAGATGATATAGGCTACATAAACTGGGCACCAGCAGTTACACCTATTTTATTTTCTCATGGCTTCGGGTTTGTATGGATTTGTCAAGAAGTTGGAAATAGTAAGTCATTTATGTTAGAATTAAAACAGCTTGTCTTAGACATGCATAGGCAAAATTGGCATCAAGATGTTAGTAATTCTACTTTCAACATATTGTACATTTAAATCTCAGCTTAATACTGAAAGATATTAAACTTGTATAAAATCTGTACAATTAGGAAGGGCCTTGACTAAGATGCTGTTCAAATACTTTTGAAGTTACTAAATACAAACATATTCACAGTTGTAACCCTGCTGATTTATTATGCCCGTACTGCGGAGAAGGTGAAGAAGATGAATATCATGTTCTGTTGATATGTCCAAATTACGCACACATTAATGATCATTTTCTACCTAGATATTATTGTAGTCATCCATGTACTGCACATGTTATTACCTTGTTATCAACAACAGATAGTAATCTATTGCTCCGCTTAGCCACCTACTTGTATTAAGTATTCAAAGCAAGATTATAGAGTAACATATGTTGTGTTTGGGATTGCGCTCTCTTGGTGGGATATGTTCTCGTCACAATATGGATGAAATATTGCCGATATGACGTTAAATAATAACTCACTCACTCACTCTTGGTGGGGGTGCGGACCCTTATGTTGGGTTGGGTCCCGTCTGTCGGGCCCCACACCGCCGCCGGCGCACGGGTCGTCCCGCCTAGCCCGTCTGCGCTCTCTTTGCTGGCGAGTGGATGCCAGGCTGTGGGGGTGTGGGTTCGGGTCCTGGATGGGACTCGGCCCGGCAGGGGTGCGGGAGTCTGTGCTTTGCTGGGAGGGCGTGGTCCCAGACAGAAGGCGTTGCATTTGACCAGATTCTCAATGGCATTGTGTATTATGTATTATAGCGCTGTTAAAATTATTTATATCTTCAATTAAATCTTACACTGTACTCGAGGCCTCCTGGCCCCGAAATACAATAAACTTCTGTATTCTGTATATTCTGTACTATGAAGGATCATTTTAATAATATAAGTTCTCATTTAATTATTGCATTTTTAAAAGAATTAGATTTGTTAAATGATTTGTAAATAGATAAATATTTTATTATTGGTAGTTTAGATTAGTAACTGTGGCTGTACCGGTTGTTAGTGGCTGTACCCTCAAAGGGGGTTGAAGTATTGTAAAATTATTGTCCCCCTCAACGTCAATTTAAATCTATCCAACCTTTTTAATCGTAGGGTATGTGTGTTTTTAATGTATGGCTAAATGTGTCTAAACTGCTAACGGCTGAAGGGATGGTGTAAATTCAGCTAGGGTCCATGCAGGAAGCAAATGTACTGTAAGTCCACAAGGTCCCTAGTATGGTGATCTACCTTCAGTTGTTGGCAATTTATAGCCTGTTTTTACATTGTCTTGTCATTTCTAATTAACATGTTTTAGATTAAATTACTAGTTTTAAAGGGATATCTGTGATACACTAGTAGTTTTACTGTTCTCCGTCAACAGGTTTTAATTTTTAATTTTATTGATATATGATATAATCATTAATTTTTTCGTCACAATATGGCTGAAATATTGCCGATGTGACGTTAAATATTAACTCACTCACTCACTTCCCGATAAATCACCGATGAGAATGAGAATCGCAGCCTCCCCTTGCTGTAACAGCAGCCCTCTATTGCCATAACAACAGCGTTCCCTTGCCGTAACAGCAGCCTTCAATTGCTGTAACAGCAGCCTTCACTTGCCGTAACAGCAGCCTTCCCTTGCCGTAACAGCAGCCTTCCCTTGCCGTAACAGCAGGTTGTAAATCACATCGAATTGTGCACAACAGCCAGCAGTAAAATAATGAATTCTATGATAAATGACATGTTTGCCTGGGCCAGGTACACACCACAGGCAATCATTACAAGCTTCAGCATGGTGGTGGTAGTGAGCAGGAGTAGCGTCTAGCGTCTAGTGAAGAAATGTCGCTTGACAGGCCCCTTTTCTACTTGTTCTTATCAGGATTCGTTCCCTTAATATTTTTAATTCCAAGGATTTTTATTCCGACACGACATTCTAAATATATGCGCTCGATTAGAAAGATATTTTCTACCACGTTTTTTCAAAGGCCACTCAGAAACCATCCATATGGTGTTTAACGGTCAGGTTCTTGTGGAATGAGCGAGTGAGTGAACTCGCAGTATATCAGTCATATTATCACTAACAATTATACCGTCGTTCGATACTGATAAAAACTGTTATCGAAGGACAGAATAACAACTGGCAATATATTATATATTGCAATACGTAAAAACTCTTCACAGAAAGGTAAACATTTGTGACTATTTGGCAACGATACGACATAGACATTGGGCCAGATATCGTCAGCCACACCGATAAAGTCACCATAACGAACCATGGGTTCACACCTTTTCCATATTGACTGGCGGTTTTCGAAATAAATGAGGAGGTTGAAAATATGCAAATTGTCTTCTCCTAAAATTGAGGTAGATATGAACACATTTTGAATATTAATACCCACCCCTTTACTATTATATCCTTGATATACCACCTATCTACAGGCTCATTATTACTTAATGGGATTAGAAGCAGTGTCATAGATTTGTTTTGTGCTGCATCAGCATCAGCCATTGTGCTACCATAATTCATGGCTGGGTAACCAACAGAGGATTATTATTTCTATGATTTTACATAAAAGTGGATGTTGGCAGGATCTATCTTAACGGTTTGAAGACAAGAAAGGGAATAGAAAATGTAATGAATTTTTTACGTGAAGACATTTATATACTCAGCGTCATAAATGAAGGGTCAAGCTATTGGTGACCCTATTTCTTAAAAGTTGTAAAATCTTAGTTTTTGTTCGAGATATATACAACTGAATGTTTTACAAACTATCTTAACAGTATGGAAAAACACACAAGGCCGTTGAAATGTCATTAATACGTTCTTTAACGACCGATACATTCTGTCGAAATTGTATATATTCTTAAGCGTGCTTACATATCATCTGTGTCTAATTTGTTAACGGAAGATCCACTTGAACCTTAACAATAGCCACAGAGACGATAGCAGAATTTCGCTACATTTGCAGCTTTGATAGGAGTGTCGTCTAAACTATTTTTGGTCTTTATGACGTCTGTATTTTCGAGTTGGGTGTTTCTAGAAATAGCTGCAGACAGTGTTCATATGGTGCCACGACAAGAAATACTATAATCAACTACCAAAAGCGTTTTATCAATTGAATTATTTAAAACTTTAGGAAACCTTAATCTGTGTGGTAAATAATGTAACAGGCAAAATACTGCCTTTTGGGACAAAATAATCCTGATTGTAATGATCAGACAGGGTTGAGCCCAATCGATCTTGAAAACGTGTCCCAGATTGAAAGAATAGAGAGATATTCAGGTAAACGTCCATTCAATTCAAAATTATATAAATCTTTTAAAATGTTGTGACTGTTTTGTTTTTAAGATCGATACGATATATACTGCATGTTGGTTATTAATGATTGCATGTTAACGATTCTTCGATATTTCCGAAATCTTGTAAATAAATGTTAGATTCTAAGTTCCATAACAGTCTTTTGTTGATCACACGATGAGTGATTTTGCCCAGTCAGTGAAATGTGTCGATAATTTGAGGGATCGGTGTGTTCACGTCCTGATTTTGGTGAGGATACAAATTTAGCGCCAGGCCATGATGAATGGAATTAACCATAAGTCCAAACTTTCATCAAATATGTTTAACAATGATTCTATCAACGATTCTGATAAATGTTTCAGGAGATGATAGTGTGTTATAATTCGTTTCCATTTTTATGATGGTGAAGCAAATTGATTGACAGATTGATCCCTCGCACAATACCTCAACAGGACATTTCCAAGGTGACAAAAGCCCTTCTGCCCTTCCTTCAACGTGATTGTGAAAAGTTTGATAGATTAAAACGGCTTCAAGACTGTTGGAAACTGTTGTTGCAAGGGTATCTAGAGGTAGCACACAAAGGTATATTGTGCCTTGCCTTGACAGGAGGTCTGATCATCAATCTCTTAAAGCTACAGTTTGGAAGGCAAGGGTGAAGGTAATTTTATTTGATCGGCGTGGTAGGTCCGTGGTGGTTTTGATAATTTGGATCAATGGTGAGGATTATTCCTCGTTAGTTTACTTGTAAGCAGTGGGAGTTTTCAGAAAGGAAATCGCAAGGTCAGCACGGAGGTTCATTCACTCCTATGTCTCTGAGTTTAATGACCAAATGTCAATTTTTAAGGAAGAGAAGTTGACAGCCATACAATTCTTTTCCTTATGTGTATCACAATTCTAAATGCCATTCAAAAACCTGTCTGTGTTTACTTCGGATGGTTCCAAAGATTCTTGTGGATTCACAGATTCATTGGTGAATGTCAAGTCAGCCTTTATGTTGTTCGGCTAATGGGGAATTATAATTGGTAGATCAGGTATCAAAGTCTGTTGTGGTGAGAGAAGCATACTCGCCTTCGTTAGTAAAATGTTCGACTTTCTAAGGAGTCATCTCTCTGATGTTTTATTAGAGAGTGTATATGGTTTTAGAAACGCACCTGCCTATTTTGTGCATCTGAAGACAGATTACGGTTAGCCGAAGTGGCGTTTGTAGAAACCCTCCCTCTACAATGTGTAGTATCGTGTGTAGGAAATGAGTTGGCTGATCTTGTCGATTTTCATGAGCGTATTTCATCAGAAAGTACTGAAATCTTTGACAAATATACTCCAAGTAATTTTCTTTCGTTTTCTGTGACCAGGTGTGGCTGTTGAACAGCCAATTCTAGTTTGGGAGCAGTTTCAAACAGGATGAGGATCCGGGTCTCAAAATCATTGGTACTATGACACTCACTATTGCTACTATTTCAACAGTTTGATGATGAAATGCTGGCTGTCAGATGGTTCTGGTGATAAGTAATGGAAGGGTTTTTAACAAATTGTTTTTACTAATTTCAGTGTTGCTGCTTGGTACATAATTTATTGCTGTTACAAATCCAATTCATCTTTTATTAAATGTTGTTCTGCCAATGTTGTTCTGGCACTCTATTGTGTAATGACATTGTAGTTGCTTTCCATTAATTTGTGTCCTTTTCTGACTACAATTCATTTTGTTTAGGAACTGATAATTGTGCTTTATTTCTCTGTTGTTTGTCGGTTTAGCACTGAATTCCTTTACGTACAGATTTCTGGATTTACCCTTTGTTTCAGTTTGGAAAACGACATGCAACATTAGATATTTCTCGGCGTAGGAAGAAAGCCGGAAGTGAGTGAGTATGGTTTCGCAACACTGTTTGAACTAGGTTTTAGCATTTACTGATATGGACTTCATTAAACACATGTGAGGAATCGAACCCTGGCCTTCAGCACGATGAGCGAAAGTATTACTCACTATGGCCATCCGACTGTCTCTAAAAGCATGAATGAGGTCGAAAACGATCACTACCTTCGAGAAAAGTAAGCACAACTTTGTGCTCTTTGAGAAACGATTCGAGCCAATGAGTTTCCTTGAATGCCCACAGGACGTAACAGCAGGATAAATTGGGATTATTCTGGTTTGCGTGAATTTGACGCCTACGCTTTATGTGACAGATATGTGAGGTGAGCACCCTGAGGCTTTTATAGTGTAATGGCACAGTTGATGAAATAATACTGTCATCACGGATGATGTGTCTAAAGTCATCCTTAAGACGTAAAGAACAAAAATAGCTTGTTAAACAAGTTTTCAGGAAGCAGGGATTCATTTCGAGAGATTTAACAAAGCAACCATTGCACTATGTAACCGGTCGAAGCTCACGACGACCTTCTTATCGATGAGTTACAGAAAACAGCATTCAGGGAACATATTTTGCGGTACTTTAGGCTGTAACCTGCACCAATGTCCTGTCATGACAATGTGCGGAGACCCAATGGTTTGGACTGTGGGTTCCTGTCAGGACCGTCTGTTTTGTTGTGTCGGATGCCAGAGCAACAAGTTGAAACTGAAAAAAAGATGACCAATGCTTTTGTGTGTATACATCAATTGGGAAATACATCTGTTGTGTTTTGAACTGTAGATATGTTACCTCCTCGTCAAATCGGGAACCAATTTGCAGGCGGACGCTATACTCACAAGGCTACCCCACCGCCCGTAGGCACATAATTCCCCAAATGGTAAGAAATCGCTAGCCATATTTAAGATTAGTAAAGTATTTGTTCTATATTTGTGATTATTACTTTTCTAATTAATGGTTACAACATAAATAACTGTTCAAGTGGAACTGATGAAATGAAACGTTCGACATTTTATCGAATACTTCTTGCACTGCTTGGACGCAATATAGGGATCACAGGAGGAAATTTGATTTGTTTAAACCTGTATTTGACACAGTTGTTCTGTTTTGATTTGTCAAAAGCAATTGAGGTTTGTGAGTGGAATTTGACCAATCAATTTAGAGCTATTATAATTTAACGAAATTATAATAGTTAAATTTCATTTAACGCGTAGCTGAGGTTTTCCAGAGCACAGTAGGTTTATCTCCATTCTACCATGACAATTTTATGAACAATTTCAGGTGGAGCTCTTTCTTTGGTTACGAGTCAATACGTGAAGCGGCCTCGCATTCCAATCTCAAGTGGTATCGCCCGAAACGGGGTGTTTGGTGGCAAACCGTCAATGACTAACAAACCCCAGATTCAGTAATAACAAATCACGTTTTGTTTTTTCAATGCATCAATCACCAATCATTAACTGATAAGTTGGAAAACATATATCAAATAAGTTTCAAAAGCTTGGTTCACATTTGAAAATTCCACCGTAGACCCTTTCCCCACCAGAATAGTGGCAGCAACCTCATGGCCTTGACCTTTTCTCGAAGTCATTGTTTACATTTGGAAAGATGCGACAGGAGAGCCACTGACAGTTTGCGCAAGGTTAACCTGATTGTATGACTGAGATAGTCTTTGATATCTAATTACTGGTACTGGTACAAAATTTAAGAGTAGGGCGCTTTTGCTGTAACGAGAAGTCCGTGTTGTACCGAATTTAGATACTGTTGAATTTTGCGCCCTGTCAACTTGACGATTTCACGCACCTCTACGTCTGCGTGCGACAGCTGTGGTGACTCTTACACACTCATGTGTGTACTTTGTGCTCAAATTCGATTCTACGGATATTATTTACTACATTTTGGAAAGTGTTTTGTGACCTAGTGGCTTCAAAGTGTAGTGAATTCAAATTGAATCGGATTGGCTGGCATGTTCGCGAGTCTGTTGACAAAGAGCAAGATTTGTGGTGATATTTCCGAAAGGATGGATCAGGACACGAGGGTGTACCTCTGGCATAAACACGGTAAGGTAATTAATTATACTTTAATAGACTACTTTAGATCAAGCAGTGTAATGGATAAGAGGGATCATGACTAAGCTAAATAACTTTTTCAACGATATTATACATTTAGAAAAAAAATATGTTGGGCTAAACAGAACGGTTTGCAGATTCTGTAGATCTAATTGTGTTTTACTACCGCTAAATTTGAAACAGTACAAATTTCAAAATATCATTTTGTTTGAATTGATAACCCAACTGTTTATTTATGTGGACGGAAGGCATTAGAATCTAAAATTTCTTCGGCGTTCGATGTTAATGCATCCTCCGTTACCGGATCAAGATCAGTGGCGATATCGTTGACGAAAGCTGATAATAAATTTAACACGGAAATTTTGTAGCAGTCTATTGCTGGATCTATTCTGACATAACATAGAATCAACGTAAACATATTTGTTTTTGCTGATTTTTTAGTCGGAAAGCAGACGATGTTTTGATCTTGTTCGACTGAATATTTGTTTCCATGCTTTCGAAGTACTTTTGTATGTATAAACACCTATTGCTGTGATTTACGCAAGTAGTGAGTCGTGCCCGTCATCGCTAAATCCATCTTTAAAGACATATGTGTAATTTCCGACAGTAAAATCGCCGTAATTTATCGATGCATCGGTAGGTTGTTCGGTGTCCGCCATGTTAGTGGGCAGACACAAATAGTGCATTACCGTAAACCATGTATGATTGCGCACGGAAAACAGAGACCTGTATAACGTGATTATATACCTCTGAATGACTTTAATTAACCAATCACAATCCAGTGTTTACTGAAGTCATGGTAGAATACTTGTTATCCAATGCCGCACGAGGCAATATTCCTGCTACTGGTATATAACGGCCGTCTACAAATACTCATGACGGAACGGAGCAATATTACTGCTATATTACGGCCGTCTACAAATACTCTTGACTGGAATAAGCAATATTCCTGCTATATGACGGCCGTCTACAAATACTCTTGACTGAACGAAGCAATATTCCTGCTATATCACGGCCGTCTACCAATACTCTTGACTGGAATAAGCAATATTCCTGCTATATGACGGCCGTCTACAAATACTCTTGACTAAACGAGGCAACATTCCTGCTATATTACGGCCGTCTACAAATACTCTTGACTGGAATAAGCAATATTCCTGATATATGACGGCCGTCTACAAATACACATGACGGAATGAAGCAATATTCCTGCTATATGACGGCCGCCTACAAATACTCTTGACTGGAATAAGCAATATTCCTGCCATATGACGGCCGTCTACTAATACTCTTGACTGGAATAAGCAATATTCCTACTATATGACGGCCGTCTACAAATACTCTTGACTGGAATAAGCAATATTCCTGCCATATGACGGCCGTCTACAAATACTCTTGACTGAACGAAGCAATATCCCTGCCATATGACGGCCGTCTACAAATACTCATGCCTGAACGAAGCAATATTCCTGCTATATGACGGCCGCCTACAAATACTCTTGACTGGAATAAGCAATATTCCTGATATATGACGGCCGTCTACAAATACTCTTGACTGGAATAAGCAATATTCCTACTATATGACGGCCGTCTACAAATACTCTTGACTGGAATAAGCAATATTCCTGCTATATGACGGCCGTCTACAAATACTCTTGACTGGAATAAGCAATATTCCTACTATATGACGGCCGCCTACAAATACTATTGACTGGAATAAGCAATATTCTTGCCATATGACGGCCGTCTACAGATACTCTTGACTGAACGAAGCAATATTCCTGCCATATGACGGCCGTCTACAAATACTCATGCCTGAACGAAGCTGCCATATGACGGCCGCGTCTACAAATACTCATGACTGGAATAAGCAATATTCCTGCTATATGACGGCCGCCTACAAATACTCTTGACTGGAATAAGCAATATTCCTACTATATGACGGCCGCCTACAAATACTATTGACTGGAATAAGCAATATTCTTGCCATATGACGGCCGTCTACAGATTCTGTTGACTGGAATTTGCAATATTCCTGCCATATAACGGCCGTCTACAAATACTGTTGACTGAACGAAGCAATATTCCTGCTATATGACGGCCGTCTACAAATACTCAAGAACTATCAATATTTCCATTATGTGACGGCGTTTACAGAAAACCTTGACTGGACTTGGCAATATCCCTGCCATATGACGGCCGTCTACAAATACTCTTGACTGAACGAAGCAATATCCCTGCTATATGACGGCCGCCAACAAATACCCTTGATAATACTAATCAACATTTTCGCAATTTGATGGCGGTCTGCAAATACTCAAGAACTGTCAATATTTCCATTATATGGCGTCTACAATTGTTTAAATGAATTACGTAATAATACCTTTATTAAACCGCGGAACTCACTTTGCAGTCTGGAATTTTTATGAATTTTCATGAGAATTAATTAATTCATTCATTGTACCTAAAACTTGCTCAGCTCTTATCAATTTATCCTTTTGAACTCGAATCTCTGAAGACGATTTTATAGCATCAATTCACGGAACAATAAACGCAACATAGACGTCAATAGACAACAGAGTGAGAGTGAGTGAGTGCGTTTAGTTTTCCGCCGCTTTTAGCAATATTTCAGCAACATCATTGCAATGGATATGGATATGGGTTTCACACATTGTACTCATGGGGGAATCAAACCCGGGTATTCGGCGTGACGAGCGAACGCTTTTACCACTAGACTACTCCACCGGCCCCAATGATATTTGAGACTAGCGTAGGTGATTTCCATCCCTCAACAACACGTATGTACGGAGAGTAACAGCGAGTAACATGCCAACACTTATTCACGGTAACATCCGGGTTTGTGGTTTTAATTTGTAACATTTGCATGCGCCGACAACTCACCATGGAAACGTCAGCTACATTACCTCAAGTGCCTCAATCTTAGCGGGGTCGTGAACGTCCATCTTCTGGGCGTCGGACAGTGCCAACAGGTAGCAGTGTGTGCTGGACACCATCACCATCTCCCCCTGGTGACACGTGGGGACAATGAGACAATGGCGAACGTAATTGTCCGGCACATGTTTCCAAACATGATGTTATCGTTCCAAGAATGACACATTACTTTATCTCATAATGCAGTCTAGAAATCTGAACACATTATATACTCATCATCGTTCGAATATATTTGAATGACAGCTTAAATCCACATCAGGTGATTATGGCGTTTTGTGTCAAGTTAAACCCATTACCAACGTGCGACAGCGTCAGTAATTGCGAGCACCATACACTATGTGTTACTGAATTTCCATCCCATAGATGGGATTAACCGTCAACACATCCAACTTCGATAATCCAGGAAGAAGACAAAAGCAGAGTATCACGTGATGGACCAGATAGCTACACTACAGCCTATTTTCTGATTTTGTTGAGAAGAAAGACAATATACACATTTACTTTGAACTGCGTGTACAAGTGCACACATTCTTCTGCTTCTCAAAAACGTTTAAGAATTATATTTGTTTAAAAGTAAAATCGTTCTAAATGATTGAAATAAAATACTTACACTGAATTTGTCGTAGGCGAAGCCGAAGGACCCGTGAGGGGGAGGTGAGGGATGGGTGTGGGGCGCATGGGAGGGGTGATCATGCGGAGATGGGTGGACGTCCTGGGACTGGAAAGAAAATGTGTGACAATCATTTGCGAAGTTCGTATATAGATGCTTCTGTAACATATGCATTCTAAACTAAAATGAATATAAAAACTATATTGTACCTCCTCCATTCTACCAATTACACCTGGAATAAAATAACTAAACATCAGAAAGGAACCGAAACTCTGTGAAGTACGAATTACCTTTAGATTTTATGTATGGAAAAGGGTTAGCACATGAGAGGGAACGTTGTTAAGAGCAGCCAAATGTAAAGGTATTTGATGTCACGCAGAAGGAATGTTTACCTGAGCCAGGTACACAACGGACGCAATCAGTACAAGCTTCAGCATGGTGAATGTGGGAAGTAACAGTGTTAGGTGACGCCTTACGTGGCAGCACCTTATATACATGGACTTATCACAGGCTGCAGTCCCTTCCCTTCTTGCTGCCTCTATCACGACATTCCAAAAATACGCAATCTCGGTTTATCGGAGTAACAGATGTTACATAACACATTGTTTTTAAATTCAGTGTTTGTGTTTGCATTTCGAAATTACACTAATGTGGAGAAACCAGACATGTTCAACACGATGAAGGTTATCGGAGCTGCATGCCGTGTGATCGTAGCGGCACCATGCGTTGTCCCACACCTGACGTACTCTTGTCCATGGAACACCAACCACGTGTCTGTTTAATGATGATGGCCTGTAAGTAATCTGAACCAAATCAATCAGTGATTGACATTGTGATCAATGCTCAAAGGGTTGAGTGAAGTACACTCATTCAAGTCACGAAACCGACAATCCGATATCTTGATAGTTATTGCAGATCTAAGAGTGAGTGAGTGAGTGAGTGAGTTTAGTAAACAATATTCCAGCTATATGGCGGCGGTCTGTATATAATCGAGTCTGAACCAGACAATCCAGTGATCAACAGCATGAGCATCGTACTGCGCATTTGGGATACGATGACATGTGTGAACCATGTCAGCGAGTGTGACCACCCAATCCCGTTAGTCGCCTCTTACGACAAGCGTAGTCGCCTTTTGTGGCAAGCATGGGTTGTTGAAGACCTATTCTACCCCGGATCTTTACGGGTCTGCAGATCTAAGAACATTACAAGGAAAATAATTATATACTTTATAACATGTATCACGTTAACGTCTTCGTATGATGTTATATGCTGCAAATGCTGAACTTGAAAACGTTAAATGAGCGCGTATACATTTTTTATCCTTTTCATGAACACTCAAAAACCTGTTAGCTTATCTTTGCGTGCGTGACTGCATTTCTGCAAGTTGATCCCGTTATTCTTTTGGATAATGGAAACCATTGTTATCGTCTAATTTCTGTTCTAAATACGTCAAAAAAATGGATCGTATGGTCAGTCTATGCTTGCTATTGCAAATATGCTGCCTCAGATATTCCCTAACCTCAGGCAGTTAGCATCTACTCTATATTGCCATGTTTGATATTATGTAGATTGACATAACCATGTGTTCAACGGGGACATAACTGTTATACATGTATATTATTTGAAAATTCGCTGCACAGTCGTTTCAGATTAAAGTTGTATATTTCGGTATGCATATTGTGTGGCAGGGTTATTATTCCTCAGGATCCATGCTCAAAGTCTAATTCATTGCACCCGTTTGACATACAGTAAGGGGCAATGGTGTGCCCTATATTTAGACTCGTGCTATATTTGGACAAGGTTCTGGAACGTACTGGGGGATAATACAACCCTTTCCACTACGTGGAGAATCTTCTGCGTTCATTTTCCAAAGTATATGAGGGGACCAAACTCTTAGCTTGCATCTCACCTAACATCTCAAGTAGCATGACCGGCAGATATCATTCTTCCCCGGATGCTCAGCCTGGGCCTATTTTGAAAACTTGCCCATTGTTGCCAGGAGGTGAATATTACCAGCATTGTTTTCATTGCAAACATCATTATTGTATTTTACTGCCTTTGAAGTCGTATTGCCCATCTGTTTTGTACTGCCACTGTAATAGGTTGCTAATGGGTTGTATAAATATGTAAACTAAGTTAATTTTAGAATACAATTATTAATCGTTTCACATTTCTTTGTTGCTTGTTTGTTTCATAGCGAGTTCTTTCAAGGACGAGTTGACAGTTAACTGCTTTTAGTTTCAGATGAAAATCAACGCGTAACAATACGCCATTCATATCACTCGCTGTTAATATTTCCGAACTCAGTGGCTGGTAGAATCACTAGTGTGTGGTGAAATGTATTGTGAAGCCCTTTGGGGCTTTCAGAATAAGTTTAATAAAGGGAATTAGAGAAAGAAATTATTATGATCATTACCTGATGTATGAATATGAATAACAATTAGACTTTGTTTACTGAACTGAAACAAAAAACAATAGCTGCAAGAAATTTCACTGGATGCAAAGGGTAGCTCCTGTCACTCACTGCTGAAATATAGTACAGTGTGCAATAGCGTTAACTTAATTGTAACACATTTTGCATATATATTTACATATTTAATGTGCATTTGATTCCATTTGTTGTTTTTTTAAATGTATAAAGTGATCAAAAGAAAAGTCTTTTCAAATTGTAAAATTGTGTGGTATCTCTGTGCTCACTAACTAATCAATACGATTACGTCAGCAACACATGCTAACATGCTATATATTGAATTTTTTATTAGTAAATCGTAACTTTCTTTCGGGACAAGAAGTACTGAAAACAAAAAAATATCAAGCAATATGACACTTTTACCATCCACATGGCATTTAGAATGTGCAACGACCCAGTGATCTGGTTCCTGGAAGAGCTGCCCGATTCGTGAAGTCACCCAATAATACATTGAGTTGAAGTCATAAATAAGAAGAAAAATAAACAGAAGATGAAACATGACTGAGTACTTGACAAACAACCTGTGTCCATCTTTTAATCATCCAATTCGAATAGAACTGCGACAAAATGTTTCCAGTAGATTGATTGGTGCTTTAAGACAATATGTCATGCGCTCGATGTGGTTCATTATGGATAATCGTTGCATCTGATGATTTATGTTATACTAATATTTGTGTTATGATATTGATTGCAGCCACGATATAGCTATAGTGATGACATGCCAACAAACAGACATGAACAACATTACCGTGTGCCATTTGTTTTTGCGAGGTGATGAGCGTGCAACCTTTCTGTTGTAGTCAGCGCCACAGATAAGAGGGAATATGGCTTGTCATGACCATTTCACCCGGTGGGAATCATTTTGCATTTGGAGGAACAGGCAAATATATTTACACTTGTTGACTTTATGATGCTCAGTTCCACTATCATCCCTTCAGAAATATTCACTAAGTTTCTGTGTGGATGTCGATCCATTAATATGGATGTAAACGTCGATATAAACGGCTACCATGAACACAGGCCCAGTTTCCACGGTACCTGGTGTACTTAACGGGCCAACCTACCATGTGTACAGCACATATGTCTGTAGAATCTAACCCCAGACAGGCTCGATAACATATGTGCTGTACACATGGTAGGTTGGCCAGTTAAGTAAACCAACTACCGTGGAAACAGGGCCTGTGTTCATGGTAGCCGTTACCATGAGCAGTCATACTAGAAATACTTACAAACGATCACTGACAACGCTCAGATAACAAATTCAGCTCTAACCATACCTCGTTAGATAAATTCGATTCTTTCTCTGAATTCTGCATTAGTCAATCATGTCATTTTCAACTTTTACAACTCTTCAACCTCTGACGCATCAGTGACGAAAACGAGAGCGGATGCAATCCCCTAGGTTGGCTTTACCCTGTATTTCTATGGTTTGTGTGCGGTTTTGTTTTCCGGTAAATCAGTGTCTTGCCTGTGCCTTTATTTCTAATGAGCGCCACAGTTGAGGCATGATGCATTTATCAGTTTACTCGTGGATAGGAATTCTTAAACATGTGATAATACAAACTACACTGTTTTTAAATTATATTTGATTATATTTGTTTTGATCAATATGCTTTTACTGATATAGAAAACGTTTACATAATTCACCATACTGTCTGATTGTTTTATACTGGCACTATTCGGTACGAAACAACAAACTATTCCACATTTTCCTATATAATATGTAGGTACATGTAGGTGCTAGCTGTGAAAGTAAAAGCGATAAAACCCTCTTCGGAATAATTTCGACATACGGAAAGTTGTCATGTCATAGAGTCCTGTGTGTGATGTGTGTCACTCTGGATATCTATATCTCCAGCTAAACATGACACAGCTGCAAGGGGTTGGTTGTCTATCTATTGCCAGTCCTGGTGGGCAAATCAGTGACATGTCCATACATTTGTCCTTTGCTCCACTATTCAGAACATCGATAGTTAACTTGGTGGGAAAAACTCGTTTGTATTTATTCAGCCAAACCGGGCAGAGACTACTATGGGAAAGGCAGATCTGCCAGAATGTGAACACATTCGATGCTCATATGAATACTTACATCGTCTAAATATCTTATCCCCATATTTCACGGGTGTACTATCTATGAAGACGTTCGTGCACCTTTTACATATTGTTTATCCGTAAACTTCAGATGGCATTTCGTTTCAATATTGGTATTTGTACAATGTTTACATGTGGATATTGAAAGGCGGTTTTCGATGTTTTTTACGTTCATTATAATGTTACGTTTACGTCAACTGTCACACCAATGATTATAGTCGGTTGATGTTTCCATGGAGACGTCCATAAAATCTTCAAAGCAGCAACATAATCATCGTCGCATATCGTGTGTGGAAGATATTGCCTGGGAAATTTGTAGGGCGGTGTAAAACAGCTGAGATGTGAAATATAATGGCATTTGTTGTAAATGTAGGTGACTACATATTTCATAGGCTGCTTGTCACAACTAGAGCTGGACACAGCTCTGTGTTTAGCTCCGCAAATTTGATTGGAATTTTTTATCATCACACTTATTTAAAAAAATAGGTTCTAGGCTGTTCACAATTTGAGCTGGACACAACTCTCCGTTTGGTTCGTTCCCAAAATGTTATTGGATGTTTTTATCACCACAATTATAAAAAATGTCCTTAAGAGGGTAGCGAATGTATAATTAATCCAATACTCAGGAGATCGGGTCTTCTGAAGACTCAGGACTTGGTATTCGGTGGAGAACATTGAAATATTCATCTTGAATCGTGAACCCACTCCCGTGACAAACCAGACAACGGTAGAATATATGTGGAAGGTAGAACCAATAATTCCTCCAGTCAATATGCGGGGGTGCGGGAGTTGAGGGGCGGTGGGAGAGGGGCAGGGAAGCATTGATGTTAGCCACAGCGCAGGTAATATGATAGAACAAGGAACCAGAATCAGATCTTGAGCTAGCGTACATCTAGCAGTTTGGTGATGGTTAGTGTACCCTTTCACCCCCAGAGCGCCAGTGATTGATTGCGTTCACAAGGCAGCTGATTCAACCTTTATAATGGGTAAAC